ATACAACATTGTAAAATGACTATAGCGCAATAAAAAATGTTTTAAAAATGCTAGAGTAGATCTTGCTGTGGTGTAGCATGGGCCAAAGTCCACTGGAGACAATATTGAAATAAAAAATTTTACATATCAAAATGTCAGCATCGCCCAAACTAGGGGCCAACAACCATTGACATAATATCCTTAACAAAACTAGTACTTGGCACAATCCCTTTAAGTTCATTATTGGAAGATTGAAAATCATGTTACCTAATGTTCCATACAAAGAGAAAGATCCTGAAACTTACTCAATCCAGTCTATATGCAAATGGAAACAATGATAGAAATCTCATTAAACGCCCTTAATATTCTTTTAGTAAAAGTTCAACATTGCTCCATGATAAAAATACCCAACAAAGTAGAGATAGAAGAGAACATTCTCAGACTGATAAAGAGAATCTAAGAAAAATCCAGAGATGACATCATACTAAGGGGGAAAGAGTGGGTGCTTTCTCCCTAAATCAGGAACAAGACAAAAATGTCTACTCTTGGTATGTCTATTCAACATTGTAATGGAGTTTCTGGACAAGGCAATTTTGCAATTAGAAGAGGTGAAAGGCATACAGACTGGAAAGGAATGAGTAAAATTATATCTGTTCTCACATGGCATAATCTTAAATATAAAAATCCAAAGGAATCTGCTAAAAAAAACTATTGGAACAAATCAGCAAGTTCAGCAACATTGCAAGATGCAAGATCAATATGCAAAAATTACTTGCAATAAACAAACAATCTAAAAATGGAATTAGGAAAACAACTCCACTGACAATAGCATCAAAAAGAGTAAGATACTGAACCAAAAGAAAAAGTGTAAAACTTGTGCTCTGAAAACTACAAAACATTCTTAAAATAAATTAAAGGTCTAAATAAGTTGGAAAACATGCAATATTCATGGATCATAAGACTTAACGTTGTTAAGATGGCAATACTCCCCAAACTTATCTAAGATTCAATACAGTTCCTATCAGAATTCCAGGTTACTTCTTTGTAGAAATTTACAAGCTGATCCTAAAATTCATATGCAATTTCAAGGGACCCAGAGTAACCAAAACAATTCTAAAAAGAACAAAGTAGCAGGACTCACACGTCCTGATTTCAAGACTTACTACAAAACCATGGTAATCAAGACAGTGTGTTACTAACAGAAATACTGATGTTATAGATAAATAGAACAGAACCAAGTATCCAAAAATAAATTCATGCATCTATGATCAACTGATTGTTAACAAGGGTATCAAGACTACCGTATAGGTAAAGAATGATCTTTTCAACAAATAATGCTAGAAAACCTGGATAACCACATGCATAAGAATGTAGCTGAACCCTCACCTCACACTATCTACAAGAAGAAACTCAAAACGGAAAAAAATGTTAGAGCTTTCTATGGTCTGAATGTATTCCACCAAAATTAATATGTTAAAATCTTAAGCCCCCAATATCATAGTATTAGGAAATGGGAACATAGGTCATGAGGGTGGAACCCTCATGAATGAGATTAGTGCATTTAAAAAAGAGGTTCCAGAAAGATCCTTAGCTCCTTCCACCATGTGAGGACACAGGGAGATGGTGAAGGCTATGAACTAAAGAGAGGACTTTTACCCAGTCATGCTGGCATCTTTATTTTGGACATTCCAGCCTGCTGAACAGTAAGAAATAAATGTTTATTGTTTATAAACTACCCATTCTGTGGTATTTTGTTATAGGAAACCAAATAGACTAAGATAGAACAAAAACTATACACTTTTAGAAGAAAATGTATGGTACATCTTCATGATCTTGGATTTAGCAAATGAGTCTTTTAAAAAATACCAAAATCATGAGCAACAACAACAAAAATAGATAAATTCGACTTTATCAAAATTAAAAACTTCTTTGCCTCAAAGCACAGACTATCAAGAAAGAAGGGATAAGCAGGATGGTGGCCTTGGAACTCAGAGTCTGCTAAGGAGTGTTTAACAGCTCACCTGCCAAATCAACTAGCCCTGAAAATGGATGGTGCTGGAGAGTCTGGCCCATACCTGGCCATCGCAAACTGGACAGCAGTATGTAAATCAATAAAGCTAGAACACTCCCTTACACCATACACAAAAATAATCAAAGACTTTAACATAAGGAAAGAAACAACAAACCTCCTAGAAGAAAATATAGGCAAAACATTATTTCACATACATCTCAAAAATATTCTCCTAGAACAGTCTACTCAAGCAATAGAAATAAAAGCAAGAAAATGGTGTAAGGGAGTGTTCTAGCTTC